GGAAACAGCAGTTAGGTCATGAGGGAGGCGGGAGTCCCAGATCAGAGTATGGTTCTTAGGGGAAACTGGTTAGTTCCTACAGAATGATTGCTCTGGTTGCTCTGGTTTCCTGTCTTGCCTTGTGATCTCTTCTGCCCAGTCTGCCACCTTTTGATGGCATCTCCACAAGGCCCTTAGCAGCAGCCCCATGCATAGGGTGACTGATCTTTGGCTTCTGCCTCTAGAGCTCTGAGTTTAATAAACCTTTTTTCTGTATGCTTTACCCAGCCCCAGGTATTTTGTTATAGCATAGAAAAGAGATAAGTGCAGCACGTGTAGGTTCAATTCAGGCTAACTCACTCTAAACATTTCATTCAGTTTCATGGAACCTGTATGTCTGCAGATATCATCAGCTTGAGTAACAAAAAGGACTGCAGGTCAAATTAAAAGTTAACATGAGCAAAATGAAGAGATAAATAGGAAGTACAGAGAAGTTCACATACTTCCCCAAATGACATATTCTGTCGTTTTAGAAGTATTTAAATATATATATACTAATTTGTTTCATTTATACTACTAGTTTATCTTAATTTGTTGAAAAGAAAGTTTTGTGGGGTTTTTTTTTATGTGAATCTTTTTGTCTTATATCTTGTACTTTGAGTAACTACTTTGAAGATAAAAATACAGTGTAATAACTAGTGTTAGCCTCTTACTTAGTTATGAAATTTGGTTTTATTTTTTCACTTTAAAAAAGTTAAATATTGCCAACAGTAACAATGGTAAACTCCATTTATTTCCAAACAGAAATACCTTCCTTTTACCTGTTTTAAGCTCTAATATTAGAGTACAAAAAAAGTCATCCAGGATTCTCCAATTTCTAGAATGTTTTTGTCTCATTTAACTAGCTGTTGCCTGTTCTCCTTGCAAATCTGTCATAAAATTTCCTTGGAGGCTAAGCCTAAAAAGGATTAGGATTATAACGCACCATAATCCTCAGTAATTCTTTATCCAAACATGTACACCTCTCCCCGACTCCTGAAATTTTGAACTTTCCCCTCTTTTCCTGATGCGTTGTGTCTTCACTATCACCCAGAATGCTGTGAGAGAGGTTGAAGACTGGCTGTCATTCTCATGGTTTTCTTGATCTTAAGCCTTCTTCCTTTTCAGCGAAATGTATCAGACTCCCATGGAAGTAGAATACCTATTGGCTGCTCTACTGGCCCATCCACTGACTTGAAGAACTTTTTGTTTGATTTGGAGAAATTGATAACTTGATTTGGTTACCAGGTAGGCTTTTGTTCTAGCACCTCATTCATTCATTCACAATGGGGCCATAATTCATGTCTCGCTGCCAGGCTGCTTGAGCTACCAGTGGCACATGCATGACTGTCCCACCTGGGGATTTTTATTAATTTTATTAGTAAAAAGACCAGTACAGGTGTTAGATCAGTTTGTACCGCCTGATGAGACAGTCACCCTTGTACCACTGGTGGTGGAGCCAGCGGGAACGTGTTAAGTTAGAAACTTCATTTAAATAGCAGCTTTCCGTGCTCACACCTACTGATGCAAGTCTTTGTGTTGCTGGACCCAACAAGGCTCACTGAACATCAATATGCGGTTCCTGAGGTGGAGATAGATCCGTGTTTCTTAGTAAGCCTGACACAGAATTAGTATTTTTGTGATTTGTTAGCCATATTTGTCCAAAAGTAAAGTACAGGACCTTAACTATGCAATTTAGGGAACCTTAAATGAAAAAGTACATGTCTTAGTAAAATCCTAAAGCTATTCTAGTATTTTTATTTCTGACATTCTTTTCAAGTACACATCGGAAATCTACTTTGTAAAGATATAAAGCCATACTTATCTGTTGAGAAGGTTCTGTTCTACTTCTAGTTTCCTGATAGCTTTTACCGTGAACAGCTGTAGAATTTAGTCCAGTACTTTTTCTCCAACTAGTGACAGGATCATATGGCTTTTACTTTTCTCTGTTAAAATGATGGCTTTTGGGGGTGGATCTTCCAATGCTGAACCAACACTGCCATCCTTATGATAAAACCACTTTCTACATACTGTCAGATCTGACTTCTAATAGTTTTGTTTTGTTAAACAAATTTTTATCTGTGTTCATACTTTTTTCTTCTATTATCTTTATCCAGTTTTAGTATTAGCACAATGTTGATTTCCTAAAATGAGGGGAGAAGTGTTCCTTCTTTTTTCTGCTTTAAATGTTTGATATAATTTATCAGTTAAAATGTATATGAGCCTGCTGTTGTCATATAGGTAGATTTTCAAGCTAGGAATATACTTTCTTTAATAGGTGCTATTTAAATTTTATATTTCCTCCAGAGTCAGTTTCATGAATTTGTCTTCCAAGGTGCTTCTTAGAAGTTGTCAAACTTATTTCAAAAAGATTTTTGTAATATGCTTTCTATATCCTTTTAAATTCTGTAAAATCTGTGGTAATGTCTTTTAGATCGTTTTTTTAGATATCTTGATATTGTAATTTTAAAAATGTATAATTGATATTGTGTAATAGGAAGAAAAAGTCTAAAGGAGTACGGGAAGTGGGAGGGGTAGGGGAAAGGAAAGAAGGGAAAAGAAAAAATATGAGAAAAGGAAAAAAATGGAAACAAAGTCTTTGCAAATAGAGAAGGGTGGAGGAGGTGAAGGGAGGACAGGGGAAGGGGAAAAAAAATAAGAACCAAGAGACTCATGTAAAGGTACAAGATCCCAATGATGAATATAACTGTATTGGGGGGGGGGTTGGTACCGGGGATCAAACTCAGGTCCTTGCGCTTGCGCGGCAGGTGGCAAAACCACTGAGCTAAATCTCCGGCCTGAAAATATGTATTCTTTTTTTGGAGGGGTACTGGGGATCGAACTCGGGTCCTTGCGCTTGCACAGCAGGAGGCAAAACCACTGAGCTAAAGCCCTGGCCTGAATGTAACTATATTTTATACCTACAGTGTACCAATAAACATAATTTTAAAAAAAGATATAAAGCCATAAATCCAGAGCACAGTATCTGTGACTCAAGCACAGTGAAATTCTCCTCCTAGCCATCACTTTAGCATGGGTGATTACCAAGGAAGAAGTTCACGGTTAGTACTCAAGCTCTTCTCCCACTCTTCCTGGTGTCTGGCAGCAAGCTGACCTGCTGTCTAGCCTACATCTGTGGGTTTACCCCCTTTTCAGATGAACTGTGATGGAGTTTTTCTTCCTATCAAAAAAGTTATGTTTTGGATATCAGCACAAGTTTTCCTTAGAGCTATGCTTTTTCCTGAAGAATAAATCTCTGAAGTTACAGTTTAAGTCAGTGAGAAAGTATGATTTGTCTACTAAAATAATCTTACACTAGAAACATACCTTTCCATTTAGGACATGTTGCTGGTGGCAAGAACTGGAGAACTGTAGTGGTTAACATCTAGCCAGCATCATTCTTCTGAGAATGGAAAGAGGTCCAACTTAATCATAGGGAACAGCGCAAAAATCTTTCTGTATAAAGAAGTAAAAATTGTAGGGCAGAGAATGTGCTTGTTGGGAAACTTAATTGACCTATCAGTTTCCTGGTTGCAATCTGCATAGCCATTCCTTACTTTCACTGCTTCAGTAAAGCGTCAATAAGGAAGCAAGAAGCTGGGCATGATGGTACACACTTGAATCCCTGCCTCTAGGAGGCTGAAGCAGGAGAATCGCAAGTTTGAGCCTAGCCTGGGCAACTTAGGGACTTAGTGAGACCCCGTCTCAAAATAAAAAATATTTATAAAAGAGGTGGGGGTGTAGCTCAATACCCAGTAGCATTTGAAAAAAAAATTGTTTTTTCATGTACAAAGAATTGACCTTTTGAACCAGGTACAGGGACTCACTCCTATAATCTCACCTGCTCAGAGGATTACAAGTTTGAGTCCAGCCTCAAATGACATTCCTGAGTTTCTAGTGTCACCCTCAACATTAGCCTGAAGCCCAGCACATTGGGTGTTTTAGTTACAGTAAATGTAGTGGACATACACAGGTACTGCTAGGGTTGGATGTGGTTTTTCCTCTGGAGGTTCGTGTGCTGCTATTAGCATGGGCCCCCGAGTGGCAGGATTGAGCTGCTGACCCTTTAAGAGGAGAGGGGCTTGAAAGGGAGCAGTCAGGTCAGGGGCTCAGCCCTTGTGAATGGATTAATGCTTGTCTTGTGGAGTGGGTGGGTCTCACGGAATAATTATTGCTCGAGAGAAGAGGTGGAGCAAGGCGGTGGTGAGAAGAGGTGGAGCAAGGCGGTGGTTACCGAGCAGGGCCACCACACACACTTGGCCCTTTCCTGCCAGGTTGTGACACAGCCAGGAGGACTCTCTCCACGTCATGGGTGCCATGCTGTATGGACCCTCCAGCCACCAGAATCAGAAGCCAAATCAAACTCTTTACTCTGTAAGGTACTCAACCTTGGCTATTTCCTTATAGCAACACAAAACCAACTAAAATGTAAACAAGAACACCTTTAATCTCAGTACTTAACTTAAAAAGGGAGATAATGGGAAAGAGGAAGAGAGAACTTTTGTAAATAGGAAAGGGTCCACAAGAAGGGAGGAGACATAAAAAGAATTAAGGTGTGTCATGTACATGTTACAACTCCCGACAGTGAATGTACAGTAAATCCCTTACGTACAAATGAGTCCCATTCGGGCAGGATTATTCATAAATTGGGATGCATTCATAAATGAGTCTTATGTAGTACATCTGTGAAAATTAGCAACTCGAATATTTGTAAATCAGGGACTTACTGTAATCATTATTTATCATAAACATGTACTAGTAAAAGTTTTTTAAAAATTGGTGCTGTGTGGGAACCGTTTATCACTATGATAAACATTTTAGTCGTTTCTGAATGCTGAGAAGAGTGGTTTACTATTAAGTACCTATTCCCTACTTTAATGTTAGAATTATTATATATTTGTAAGTAATTTTAAAAGAAATAATGTATAGTTCCATTTCCTTTTTTCTTTGTTGCAGATTTTTTTTTGTTATTAACAAATTTGGATCTAGACAGGCTTTTTTTGGTAATAAAATCATTCTTAAGAGGCTGTATGCACCTGTTTAGGAAACAAAGATGGTGACTTTTAACTATCAGGGATCCTGTCAGGGCTGGGTAGTAAGTAACTGCAGGAGCACTTTTTATCCTAAGCCAAGCAGAGTGTGAATATTAAAGGGAGGGTGCCCCTTCCTTACACTGTGTCCTTGGGTGGCCTAAGACATGCGCTGCACTGCCCTCTCCCGGCTGAATAAAGGCGGCAGGATGGAAGTGGATGGTCTCCTAAACCACGGGCTGGGCAAATTTGTCCTCCTTGACAGAATTGTTGCTGGTATGATGAAATTAAGGCGCTTGAGATGAGATTTTATTGGATCTTGGTGGGTGGCAAGGGCAACTGGAAATGTAGTCACAAGTGTCCTGTTAAAGGGAGGCAGGCGGAGATTTCAGGCACATTTCAGGGTCAGTAACAGGACCGAGGAATGCCGGCAGACAGGAGACGCTGGAAGAAGCAAGGGATGCAGCTCCTCTAGAGCTCTGGGATTCTTCTCAGGGCCTTGATTTCTCTCTGTCTGCCCCAGTTCCGCCGATTTCATCCTGATTTCTGGCCTCCAAATCTGTGAGAGAATAAATTTCTGTTGTTTAAGTCAATAGGACATGTCAGAAGACAAAATTACAATAGATTTAACTGGAAAGTCTTAATTGGCTTTTATTTGCAGTTCCCTCTGGAGCAGGTGCTGAGCACAGTGAGAGAAGAGTGTGTATGCGCTGTAAGGCTGCACAGGTGAGAAGTGATGCCTTCTGCCCAGGGAGCTGAGGCTGTGGGTGGCTGCCCATAGCCAGTGATGTCCGCGTTGGGTTTTGAAAGGCAGATAGTAAGTTTTGAAAATGGGACAAGAATTTTAAACTGGTAGCAAGCATGAAAGTAGATGTGACAATAGTGACAAAGGTAGGCTCAGGATTAGCTGAACTTGGATGGGAGATAGCAAACAGGGGAAGAATACTCACCAGCATTTGAATTTTGAGATGAAGAGTTCAGCAAAGAAACTGGTTCCAGTGGGAATTAAGAGGTTTGGGCATTTTGAATTTGCAGCCTGGATAAAGAATGAATTAAATCACTTAAGGATGGCTTACATATAATGAAAGAGGGGTGAAGATAGGGCCTGAAAGGAAACCAGTGTCTGCCTGCCGGACGAGTCCTAGCAGAAAAGTTTAGTGTGAGAGAAATCGAGGACTGGGATTGGGAAGACCAGAACAGAGGGTGTTAACTGTGTCGGGCACGACGTGTTGGTCCTGTGAGATGAGGGCCGAGAAGCATCCTTCAACTTGGTCAGTTAGGAAGGCGGCCTTGGCTTTCACTGAGGAAGGGAGAGTAGAAGTAAGAGTACAGTTAACGGAGGAGTGAAGGGTGTGGAAGGGAGAGAAGAAGTGCAGACGACCAATGTCGGACTCGCTTGGGGACCAGTGAAAAAGAGAAATACAGTGACATGATGCATCCAAGAAAGAATGAGAGTGACTAAAGTGTATTTTTAAGCTAGTAAATATGAGCCAGTAGAGAGAAGCACTAGTACATGGAGACAAGACAAGAACCAATTGTTAGAACAAGGTCTCAGGAAAGTTGGGAAGAAAATGGATCGAGGATTTGTCATGAGCCCCTCATCTTGTGAAGACCTCAAGAAAGCAGTAAGAATGGGCATCATTACAGTTAAGATTTATTTAGGCTGGAGGACATCTAGTACAGACGTGGCATGGCAAGGATTAGGTAGATGGCTTAAGGAGAGTGGCAAAAACTTTAGAAGAGTTGCTAAAAAGAGTGGCAGCAAATGAAAATGTTGCATGCTAAATGGTTAAAAGTGGGTCTTAAGCTGAGAAGGAGAAATCCTTAATCACAGCGATCCGCATGGGTAGATTCTGGCTTTCATTTGAAAGCAAGCATATTTCTTTGCCTTTTTTTTTCTCCAAAATTTATTTGCTTTCTAAAAACTATTTCTTCTTTTGGAGTACTTGGAAACTCCCTGTAAGTTTAAGTTTGTTTAGGTTAGCCAAAAGTTTTTTTTTTATTTTGAAATATAAAAATGTGTTATGAGCTATAAATAATACAGCAGCTATAACAAAATCCAGACACTGAGTAACTATTTGAGTGTTTAGTGCTCTCCAGCATGCAAAGATGCCAAGAAAATATGGCCCCTGGCATGGTAACAGCAGAGATTTTAGTTTCCCGAAAGAAGTGTGAGAGTGTTTGTGTTCACTGCATTTACGTAGTTTGGATAACAGCAACCCCCGCCCCCATACTTCAAATTATATTTTTAAAAATTTGAAAGCACTTTTTTATTTGAAACAATATACTCATATCCTTTTGAGAAGATGTCATAAAATGAGCCATAGGGCTCACTCCTACTCTTTGAACCTCTCTAAAAATTTAACAGTGAGAAGGAGTCTCAAATTATTTAGCAAGTTTTGAAAAACCTGTTCAACCAGTATAAGAGAAGATGATGAGATAAGAGGTACCCACTATTAACATGATAAGTACAATATCAGTAGCTCAAAGAAGTGCTGGATTTTGGTTCTCTTGACTAAATTTTTATCTCCATAGGTGAAATGATAATGTAACAAAAAGTCCTCAACTTATGAATAAAATGTATTAAAGAGTTGTAATTTTGAGGGGTGTATGAATTACGTTTGTTTATATTAGTTTTCTAGAAAAATTATAACAAGATAAAATAATGTCAATAAAATACAGAAAAGTTCAGAACCACCCAAAAAAAAAAAAAAAGTGCAAACTTGCCAGCAGTGAACGTCATTAGCATTGCTTTAACCTGTAACAGAGCTTCAGCTTTAGTCCTGTTTCCCAGTGTAAAGGGGAAACGGAAGCTATCATCCTGTCAGAAACAAACATATTGACTATTTATCCAGAGACAGCTTTTCCTTGCATAGAATTTCTTGTGTGGGTTTTTATTTAGGAACCCTGGGTGGTGTAATAGACAATTTGCTTCACAAAACTTTTGCCGCAAACAGGTAGATTTCCTATGGTTTTTCATTATTAGAGCAGCCTTTGGGGGCAAAAAGCTAAGAGTAACATAGATCACATTTTAATGGCGGTAATTCTTAGAAGTCCTAAACTAATGTGATCCTTCTGGCCAGTAAGCTTTTTGTAAGGCCGAGCCTGAGCCTGGACTAACTGCCTGGGGACTCGCTGGGCGGAGGGCTGCAGCACAGGGACCACAGCTGGAACTTGGAGGAAACAAAGCTTGGACAGAAGAATCGTGTGTGATTCAAGATGCAACCACAATTTCTGTCTGCCTGCTTCTCTTAACCTTTTACTATAACCTTTTAATCAGACTTTCCTTCCCTTTTCTCTCTGCACCGAAAGTTCTCCAAGACTTCTTTTCTCAATTCTAACGATATATATAAGTGCTCATAGCCATTGCAGCAAAACTGCATTTGATAGTCATTTTCCTTTCTTAGAACAGCATTGTCTAAATTAATTTAGCATTGCCAATTTGTTATTATTTTCAACCTTAAATGATCATGCTATATATGATTCAAGTCTGTGTTATAATTGTGATTTTTTTTTTAACTTAATACCAATTAGTAGAGTAATAAAATGGATTTATGGGGTTTCCCGGCCACTTACACAATGGATATCCTGCGCCCTAAACACCTAATATATGTCAGGCACTATTCTAAATGCTGGGGAGATGATGGCAAACGAGATTCACGGCATTTGGGAAGCAAGCTTGCAGGGTATATTTAGGCTAAATATGCATGGGATGATATGTGTGATGTGTGAAAAGCTTGGCACAGGGCCTAGCACATAGTGCTCAATAAATTTTAATTGTGCTGGTTGCTGCTGTTGTTGCTGTCATCATGCCTATTGTGGGAAAAAATTGAGGCTTTAAATCAGAATGCATGTGTTTAAGAGGGATGAATAGAAATGTAGTACATGAAGAAAATTAGAAAATTAATCCAGAGACCCTGGGTCAGAGTAAAGGAGAATTCAGTATTGTGGAAGCGAAGAATGTAAAGATTTTCAATTGTCAGAAGCTGCATAGACATCAAAAGAGTGAGAAGAAACAGACCATTGATGTAGCAATTACGAGAATATTGGTTGACCTTTAAGAAAGCAGTTTTAGTAGCATGGCTAGTGTGGACTCTAAAGGAGTTTGGCAGGAGAAAGATGGAGGCAGTGAGGGAAGAGCACTTTTTAAACTTGACAGGGTTTACATAATACTTGTAGGCTTTAAGAAAAGTTAAATGGATTACATTAACTTGTCTATTACTGCCTAACAAATCATCCCGCATTGTGGTATTTAAAACACAGTGAGCGTTTTGGTGGAGAAAGAAATTGCTACAGTTCAGCTGGGTGATTCTGGCTGTGGATCGCTGGTGTCATCTCGGAGACTGCCACCACAGATACAACTTCAGTTATTGCAGTGAGTTAGAAAGTAAGCCTTACTGGGGGACTTGAAATTAGTAGAAAAGTAGGTGGCCTCTCTGGGATTTTGGGATCTGAGCCAGACAGGCAGGGGAATGATAGTGTTGCTTTAGGCATCAAAGATAGTGCTTCACAGAGAGTTGTAACTGGTCGTGTTTTCTCAGAATACTGACTACTGCAGTTTCACATGATAGAACTGAATTATATTTCCCAGCTCTTACTCTTCCTTGTAATTTTTAAAATTAATTACACTGGAGATACCAGTGATTTTTTTAAAATATCAAATATTTAATTAGTTGGCAAGAACAATAGAGAATGAAGGGTGCTAAACACCCAACTAGATATGCTTTGTTCTCATTTGTGAAAGGACCCTTAATTTCATTAGATCCAGCAAGAAGCAACAGCCTGCTCTTTTCTGTTTAACAACTCGTAGATTATTCTCTATCAAATGTATAACCTGAATTCATGTTAGCATTCAGAGAACAGTTAAAGCATTTTTCTTTCTATTTTTGTCAAGCGTACTACCCAACAGCAGTTAATAATCTTCCCAAAGATACTTCTCTCAAAAAACAAATTTACATAAGGGGAAAGTCAAATTATTGATTTTTTTTTTAATGCCTTTGGTTGGATGATGCTTCCATCAATCACATTGAATGGCCGTTGTGATTTTTACTGAAAATAGAGAAATTAATTTCCTTTAAATTGTTATTCATACATTTCCAGGTAATATGCCCAGCACCTTGAGAAAAGTTATCGATTAACTGATTTATAATCTCCATCATTAATCTTGATAGAGTATGAATAAAATGAAACATGGGTTTTGCCAAAGGCCTAGAAGTGGACATACTATTTATGTGGTTCCTTTTTTCTTTCTTTCCTATCCTTTTCTTCTTTCTTTTCTTCTATTTTCTTTTTCTTTCATGGCTCATATCTTAAAGAGTATAATTCTAGATCTTTTATAAAGCCAAAATGTCAGAATTCATAATGAATATGTTAAAAGCTAGTGTGCTGTTTCTATGATTGTGCTTTATTTTTTTTTTTTTTTGGTCATTTCTCCAAAAGAGATTATGACCTTTGGATTGATCCCAATTTTCATGCTGCTTTTTAGAAGAAAAAAACCTAAAAAGTCAAGTGGTTTGTTATTGGTTCCTAGACAAAATTCTGGCACAGGCAAATTGATGAGATTGATTTATAATCTATTCTGCAGCTAATTATGTGAGTCTGGACAAAAAGCTTCATTAAATTCCTTCATTAAGAGCCAGGGATTTTTAGCTTAGTGGCACCACGCCTGCCTCACAAGTGCAAGGTCCTGAGTTTGATCCCCAGTATGGAGTGGGGGGCGGGGGCTAGAGGAAATCCTTCATTAAAAATATTCCATACTCAACAATATGAAAAAAGACAAGTCAATTAAAATGAGCAAAACATTTGACCAGGCACTTTGCCAAAGAAGATATACAGATGGAAAATACTCATATGAAGAGATGTTCAACACGTCTGTCACTATGGAGCTGCAAATTAAATGACAGTGAGATACCATACACACCTATTAGAGTGGCTACAACCCAAAAAACTAACAATACCAATCGCTAGCAAGGTTGAGGAGTAACAAGAGCTCTCATTCATTGCTGGTAGGAATACAACACTGGAAGACAGAACAGCAGTCTCTCTTACAAAGCTAAACATGGTTTTGGCATACAGTCTTACAAAACTGCTCCTAGCCATCTGCTCAGATGAGTTAAAAACATGTCCATACATAAACCTGCACATGAATGCTTATAGCCGCTTTATTCATAATTGCACAATCTGCAAGTAACCAAGAAATCCTTCAGTAGGTGAGTGATAAACTGGTATGTCCATTCAACAGAATATTATTCATCAGTAAAAAGGAGAGTTATCCAGTTACAAAAAAATTTAAGATGGATCTTAAATGTGTATTGCCAAGGGAAAGAAGCCAGACTAGAAAGTTTATGTATTGTATGATTTCATAGACATCCCAGACATGGCAAAACTAGAGAGACATTTATAAGATCAGGAGTATAGGGGACAGAGGAAGGGTTAAATAGGTAAAAAAAAAAAAAACCACAGGGGTTTTTGTTTTTGATTTTAGAGTGGTGAAACTATTCTATATGATCCTGTAATTGTGTGTATGGAACATTATTCCTTTATCAAAACCTTTTAAACTATACAACACTAGAAGGAATGCAGGTGTGCAAAAATCATTTGGGAAGTCAGGAGATCCAAGAAGCAAATGCAGACTGAAGAAAGAGCCTAATTTCCTTGTTGATGTGTGACACAACCTCATTGAAGGGCATGAAGTAAAAAGTGCTGACCTGATTATTTCTGGCAATTAGCTTGTATGACTAAAGATAAAAGAATCTGTGCATAAATACTTTTTTTTTTTGGTACCGGGGATCTAACTTGAAAGCAACAGTTTTTAAATCCTCAGCTAGGTTGTTTTAGGAATGTTTGTGTTCATTTCCCAATTAGCGTCTATAATCTATCTGTTATATACACCAAATAACTTTTTACTTTAAAAATCTTAGTAGTTGGGAGGCTGAGGCAGGAGGATCACAAGTCTGAGACCAGTCCAAAAACTAAAAATATTAAAAAAAAAAAAAAACCTGGGTAGAATTGCCTTTTAAGAATGTAAACAGCCTAACTTGATGATTTGTTAATTCTCAACTTTAGGAATTACACAGTGCACTTGCGCATGCAGACAGCTTACACACATCATCCCCCATTGCTGTGCACACTCAGTAACTGTTTTTTGGTTTTTGTTTTTTGGGGGGCACTGGGGATCGAACTCAGGACCTTGTGCTTACCAGGCAGGCACAGCACCACTGAGCTACATCCCTGGCCCCCAAGTAATTGGGTTTTTTTTTTGTTTTTGGTACTGGGGATCGAACTCAGGTCCTTGCGCTTGTGCAGCAGGTGGTGAAACCACTGAGCTAAATCCCCGGCCCCCACCCCGCAGTAATTGTTGATTAAAATAGTGAACAAATGAAGAACTAGCACAGGTTCTAGAAACTTCCATTTATTGATAACCAGCCTCTTCCTCTGAACAATACAAGATGACTTACAGCAAAAGACAGTAGTAAATTAATGTATAAATAAGAAGAGGTGGAAAATCAGTACCAAAGAAAATGTGTTTGAGCCAGACCCACAAGAACATGTAAATGTCTTTTGAAATAGAAGCACATTAGTTTTTTTGATACAGCAACAGTGATGTACCATGTATTTCCAATAGCTAGAAGAAAGGATTTTGGAAATTTTCATTGTCAAGAGATGATAGATGCAATACAGGATAGATGTATTTAACCTGATTTTAACATCATATAGTATATACATGTATCAAAATACTACATTACCCCTTTAATATGTACAATTTTATGTTTTTAAGTATGTTAAAAAGTAAATTTTAGGGCCGGGGATTTAGCTCAGTAGTGCCTTCACCTGCCTTGCAAGTGCAAGGTCCCAAGTTCAATCCCCGTACCAAAAAAAAAAAAAGTAAAAGTAAATTTTAAAAATCTTAAATAGATGAGTTGCTTTTTATAGATTAGCAAAGTAAGTAGTTTCTTGAGATGGAATCTGCTGATGAAGATGCTGTGACTATTGTTGAAACAACAACAAAATATTCAGAATATTACAGAAACGTGGTTGATGAAGCACCAAGAGTTTAAGAGTATTGACCCCAATTTTGAAAGAAATTCTACTCTGGGTAAAATACTATCACACAGAGACATGTTACAGAGAAAGGGAGAATCAACCAATGTGGCCAACTTCAGTGCTTGTTTTTTTGTTTTTTACATTTTATTTATTTATTTATTTATTTATTTGGTACCGGGGATCAAACTCGGGACCTTGTGCTTGCAAGGCAGGCGGCAGAACCACTGAGCTAAATCCCCAGCTCCTTCAGTGCTTGTTTTAAGAAATAGCTGCAGCCACCTAGCCAGAATTCTGATTTTCTATGTATGTAAGTCAGACCTCTTGCCAACCACATATTTTTTATATCTCCTTTTTTTTTGGTACTGGAGGTCGAACTCAGGACCTTGCACTTTCGAGGCAGGTGCGTGGGCACTGCTGAGCTAAATCCCCAGCCCCCAACCACATATTTTGAATATTACTCATCTCACCTTGAAAACGTATTTCCAACACCCCTTGTGCTGACTGATGAACCTCCTGATGCAGATTCAGATAATGATATTTGAAGTGTTTCAATGTCTTAGTGGCCCTGAATGTGAGTTACTACCTATATCTCCTACCTGTGTTAACTAAATGCTTTCCTTCACTGTTTATTGGGATATATTTTAATAACAATGTAACAACATAATATATGGGCAAGATTTTCTTGTTTTAATCTTATGCTAGAAAAAATAATACAGCTGCTTAATGAAAGCCTATAATTTTACAGGTATTACAGGTATTATGTAAGTTACTTTTTTAAATAATGCAAATCTGAGGTACTGTTAATAAATAGTACATGTAGTAGTCAATATGGCAGAAGCACAGACATGTCCATGATTGACTGAAGTTGGTCTTTTCTTGATAGAATTTTACCATTAACTCTTTTCTCACTTGTTTACGTTGTCAGTGGGTGTTGGTCTTACATAGTATAAACTAGTTTCCTGTTTCTTGTTAAAATATCATCCCAAGGAAAAACCTTTACCTTCTTTATAACTAAATGGTGCCATAGATGTTTAAACTTAAATGGCCTTCAGTTTTAGAGAACTTTATGAAATATTCCTAAGTTTAATAAGACCAACTTATGAAATTTTAGAATTTATCTTAGTGATTGTTTTCACTTAAAGCATTTTCAGTAACATCAGTATTGAAATAAAAGTACTGTGATAACATTTGAACAGTATATGGCTTAATTATATATACAGATTCTAAAAGTAAAATATCATCTACTAGTGAGAAATATGTTTGGTACTTTATATTAGAATCTGTGAAAATGGGGTTTATATCTCTCATCCACCACTGTGGGATGACAATTTCAGGACAGTAAGGGAAAGGACCGGGTGGGCTTTTGGGAATCCTCGGTGGCATACACAGGAAGCACTCAGCAGGGCTGCCGTACCAGCCTGCAGCTGGCACCCTTTAAGGCGAGAGCCTTGGTATCTACCTGGTTCAGGCCTTGGCACTGCTGTGTTTGCTCCTTCTTGGGAGAGATGGAAGCCCCAGCTTGCACCCATTCCACCGGGCAGAAGTATATGACCCTTGCCATTGCTGTTCTCATGGAGGGATCTCTGGGCCAGTGCAGAACTCGCTTACCACATCTAAAACATTTAAGGGCAAGATTTTAATTTTTCTCCCTCCCTCCCTCTATTGCTATTCCTTTTCCCTCTCCCTCTTTTCTCCCCCACGCCCTCTCCATCTCTCTCCCCGTCTCTCATTGAAATAAGTGCTGCACCACTGAGCTGTATTCCCAGCCCCTTTCCAGTTTTGGTTTTGAGACAAGACCTCTCCTAGTTGCCCAGGCTGGCCTCCAATGTGCAATTCTCCCATCTTAGCTTTTCTCTCCTTGTTAATTGAAAATTTTCAAACATGTAAAGTTTCTAGATGAAGATGGTGTTTTCATACAATTTGCAGGTTTTTCCTTTTCTTTTTTTTGTTACATTATCCTGTGTGGTTTGCCTTGTAGGAAAGGCCACTCTGATAGAATTAGTTAGGAGCAACAGAAAGTAAGAAGCAGTTTGTTAATCCCATTTTTCTTGTGATAAATAAACAAAGAAATAAATTAGAACATTTCAAACTACCAAGGAATTTGCTCAAGGATCTCCACAGTAGTAAATATTACATTACTTTTTCATTTGTAATTTCTATCTGAATGTTCCTTAGCTTATCTTTCTCCTGAACAAATTAGATGGGCAGTTGGGCAGTTTCATATGCAAGGTGGGAATTACTCTATCAGAATATAGACTCATATTTGAAATCTTAGAATGTTGGATATAATGAAGAAGATCCCAATCCAGGGAAGAATTGTAGAATATTTGATTAAAGTAAGTTGAAATACTACTGTCCGATTTCATCAGCACCTTCTTTTAGATCTTTACATATTTCATACATCTCAATTACTTTTAAGTTACAGTAAAAGGCATATAGCATAAAAGCAACCATTTTAAAGTGTAAGATTCATGGTCATTAAATAGATTCATTCACAGTGGTGTCCAAACCGTGACCTCTACCTGCTGCCAAAGCATTTTTATCGCCCCAAAAGGCAATATGGTGCTCATTAAGCAATTATTCCCCATTTGCCCCTCCCTCATTTCCTGGCTACCAGAGCTAATCACCTTTCTCTCCCTGAATTTACCAATTTTAGGAATTTCTTATAAATGGATTATAGGCCAGGTGTAGCGAGACGTGCCTGTGATCCCAGCACTTGGAAGGCTGAGGCAGGAAGATCTCTGTGAGTTCAAGGCCAGCCTGGGCTACATAGCAAGACTGTCTCAAAAAAGCCACACACACAAAAAAATGAAATTATGATATCCCTGACTTTTTGTGCAGCTTCTTTCACTCAGCATAATCCTTTTGAGGTTCATCCATCTTGTAGCGTGTATAGAAATTCTATTTATAGGTCTGGGGATTTAGCTTAGCGGCACCACGCCTGCCTTGCAAGCACAAGGTCCTAAGTTCAATCCCTGGTACTGCAAAAAAAAAAAAAGAAAGAAAAAATTCTGTTTAGTTATTTAGAAATTTTAATCACTGAATCACATTCTATTTTATGTAAATGCCACATTTTGTTTATCCATTCATTCATTCATTGACATTTGAATTGTTTCTATGGTTTGGCTATGGTGAAGAGTGCTGCTGATTTGTTTGAATACCTTTTATTACAGTTTAGCTCAAGACGGGAATGGCGGAAAAAATAAGAACCAAGATATATCATGTAAAGGTACAAGATACCAATGATGAATGTAATTTTAGGTATTTTTAGGTATTTTTTAGGTATTTTATACCTAAAATGTACCAATAAACTTAATGGAGGAAAAAAAGAAAACAGTTTAGCTGAAGAAGTTAAGACATAAACTGTTTTCTTCAGTGACTGCACTATTTTACATTACTGTCAACATTAAATATTTATGCTGGCATTCAGAACTGACTCTGGGGCTTCCAGATTAAATTCTGAAGAATCAAGAATTTTTGTTATTATTAGATAATATGTTATGCAGTCTTTGAAAGGAAACCCATGAAACTGGTCCATTTCCAGAGTTTGCATTTGAGTATCTGTACCTTGTGATCCTCGGTTATCAACAAAAAATTTTAAAACAGGGTTTAAGAATTGGATTTAAGGGCCCAGGATTTAGCTCAGTGGTTCCTCCACATGCCTCAAAAGCACAAGATCCCAATTCTGATCCCCAGTACCAGAAAAAAAAAAGAATTGGATTTAAAAATAAAAAAGAATTGGACTTAACTTTTATTTCAATTAATATACCTTATTCCTTTTTTGTTTTGTCATTTATATCTAATTATAAGTTACTTTGAAAATACTTAGCTGATTTAGGGGTGGGAAAATTAGATACACAGATAATTGAGGAGTATATCCCTGTGTAAGCAGTTTCAATATGCCTTTTATTTGGTTGACAGTAATTTTACTGTACAAAATCAGTCATATCCTTCCTGTTTCTAGTTGAATACGTCTCCTGTGATATTTTCTGTTATGTACAACTTAAAGTTTTGGCAGCTTAATCTGTTTATTGCTCATTGTTAATGTTTTCCAGTCACTTAATGCACTGAACTGGTTTTTTCATGCTTAATTACATTTTGGTTTATTAATCTGGCACCGGATATGACAGATCCCTTTTGGTGCCTACCAAGCTGCTGTCCATTCTTCCCTCCAACTTTCTTCCTGTTGGAAAGAGTCCAGATTTTTTTCTAGTGGGTTTTTTCTTTCCTGTGCCTGTGCTCTGGGAAGGTGAGCTTCCTCAGCCCCAGGGTATGAATAATAGTTATTCTTAGAGAGTCAGTCCTGTTGCCTGTGCCAGTGATTGGCATAAGATGAAGGTGACTTACACACACAGTAATTTCTTCTTTCAAGTAAAACAGCCCCAGAGACAGGCCTTATAGGGTTAGAGCAGCGCCATGGATCACTCCATTTTCCTGCTTAAGAAAATAAGACTTCAAACAAGACTTCATTTCTCAAGGTTATTTCATAGTCCAGATGGCTGGCGTGACATCCAAAAAAGATAAAATCAGAGAGTGAAAAGATTACTTTCCTAGGTGAGTCAGCTCCCTTTAAAGCATCTTTTCCAGAGGTCCCACAGGCCACTCTTGTTTACACTGCAGAAACTACTCCTCGTGGTGCTACTTAGAAGCAAGAGAAGCAAGGAAAAGAAACCCTAGGTGTTCCTAGAATAAACCTGAGCAAGCAAGGAAGAATGAGCATTTGGTAGCAATCAATGACCCTTCGTGCCATAGCAGCAGTTACAGATATCAAAGTTTGACCTTGTCGAGAGCTCATTATAACTATTTCAGAAAAACCTTTGTAAGAGAACATTTCATTCAAAATCTAAGTAGTGGGGTATACTGAGTCAGACTTGTTTCCAAGTCGGTATCAGTGCTCATTTTCTAGTGGATGTGGTGTTGTGTGCCCATTTTCACAGCTGATCAGGAGGCTGAAGCAGGAGGATCATTTGAGAATAGGAATTCAAGGGCAGCCTGGGCTAGTAGTGAGAAAAATCTTTTTCTTTTACACTGATGTGTTTACTCACGGAATTTATTATCTCTGGGCAATGGGAGCGCATTGAGATCCCGACCTAGTGCTTGTACTTGTCCTAGTGGGGTTGTTAGTATTAGTCCTATTTCATTTTTAAATGAAACTACTTCATAGTAAAAATCAGCTTCCTTTCAAGGGAATTTGTCATAAATCCACACCCTAGCCAGCCCTCCTTGTAACTTATAATACTCTGCTGACAAGTCTCCTTCCTTTAGCACCCTCTCTGTCCTACTCTCTGACATCTAACCAGGCCTCTTTATAATACCACCTTCGACCTTGTTCTTCACCTACCTTTCTAAACCGCTGCATTATAACCAAGCCACCTCAGCACCTCACTTTAACCCCCCACTTCTGTACTAGGGATTGAACACAGGGCCTTCACACTGAGCTACATTCCCAGCTCTGACTCAGTATTTTTTCCTTTGGTTTCCTGTTTCCTCCTCTTCAGATTCCCATCCTTTATAAGCTTCAAACTCAAAATTCTTCCCTATATTTTTAGCCAGGTACTCATCTGCACACAGCTAATTTGGATGTCTCATTTCTTTTTTATTTTTAAATTCTCCCACAGGATCTAGAAAAATGCTAGTTTTATAGAAAACAAAACATTATACTCTGTAAATATTTGTTAAATAAATGACAAGCCTGGTATTAGCCAAGAAGATTAAATCTCAACCCAGGTTTATTTCATCGATTTTGGTTTAACAGATAGAAAATATGTGTGAAATTTCTAATACACTTCTAAAATAAGAGTAAGTGTTTTGATTTAAAAGGAAAAAAAACTTCTTGGCTAAGGAATTTGTACAAGTGAAGTGGAAAAGGACAAAGAAATTATCATAATGCTGGTGGCAGAAACATGAGTGTAGAGGTGTGGAAATTTGAAACTGTACCTTCGTTTGTTGGGTTATTAGACAGCAAAGAAGTATGTGGTCTTGCTTTTGTTTGTTTTGTTGTAAGAGCGAATTCTCATCCCCCAGTGTAATTCGGTGTTGGCAGTCCCGGGGTCTGGGATGAAGCTGAGGCATGAGTCCATCTGACTGCCCAGGCCCACTACACAGAATCATAATGAGTAACGGACAACTGTCAAAGTCAGTTGCTTTCTCAGGTCCTTTCTCTGAGTCAGCTGCAGAGCAAGACGTGTCTCCTAGGTCCCAAGGCTGTCTCTCAATCATGAGTCTCCCTAAAGTATTCTGTCCTGTGTGGGCTGGCAAAGCATTTGAAAATGTGCTTGCTTCCTTGGAAAAGAGTACGCAGGAATTTCTTAAGTCAGTCAAGCCAAAACACAAAGCAATCACTGTGGAGTTTCTCTGAGGCCTGGTTGTTGATGATAATGAAACCAGTCGTATGTTTGATTCTATTCCTGCATCAAAAACAGACTATGTATCTTCCAGGCAGATGCTACAAGTGAAGAATTGACTGTTCATACTTGAATAATACATATTTTGTTGGTAAATCAGCCCTTTTAGAAGCCTAGTTTAACATTTTTTAAATTTTTTTCATAGTGAAAGTCATTGTACTTGGTTAGAGTGTAAGTCACGAACTAATGTAATATGTGGATATTCATTTAACTACTACAGCATAATCATTAAAGTGAAAATGTAATTCTCTACTGAGAATTCATATTTTTTTTCCATCAAGTGAAATTGTCTTCAAGGACTCAAAGAGTTCACATGTGGCAAAGGAGATATAAATGTAATACCCATTTCTCCTGTAGGTCAGAAGTTGAGATTTCATGATAGGAAAAAACAAAGGAAGGTGAGACGATCAGTTTTAATACCCACACCTTTGCTGTCTTTTACATTGTATCTCTTACTTTGGTTTGTACTTGATTGTATAAATGAACATCTTAGTGTGTTAGTCTAGTCTCCATGAGTATATACTGTACTTTTTATTTATTAAATAATTTATGTACGTCTCCTGCTGGCATGGCCTTTGAGATGCAAGTACATAGACTCAATTTTGTTGGTTGTGCGGATTATTCCTGATATGTAACTCTGGAACTACCTGAGCAAGGGAGGTTGGGGAGATCTCTCTGAGAAGGTAACATTTGAGCTGGACCTGAGTAATGTACATTGGTGAGATATGGAAAAAGGATTGGAAAAAGAAATAAAGAGAATTTAAGATGTCAAGTCAGTGCAATATTAAATTGGCTGAACAGGGCCAACTTTTCATTAATGGCCTGAGAACTGGATATTCTCAAATCAAAAGGTTCTGAATCCTGCTAGTAAGCAAGTATACTTCAATAGGTAGCACTCCTTAGGAAAGAAGATTCTGGTAGCATAAAGGGCTTTTTTCATTATAATTGGTTTCTTCCTGAGCAGGTGTTTATGGATTAATTCAATCCTTAGATCATTCACCTCTTCCAGCTACTTTTTCCACAGGTTTGCTGTGTTGTGAAATTTTAACTCTAACAGAACACTGGTGTAACATGGAACAAGCCTTGCACATTTTGGGTAGTAAATTGAAAATATCTGGACTCGTTATGTTTCTATCCGATGAGGGTGGCTAGCCTAGAGCTTATTTCTGTTCTGGACTTCAGCTGACACAGCAATTACCTGTAACAGTAAATGCATGGGATCCTTGGAACTTTTCTCAGGTCGTCATTAGGTGTGAGTGTTAGGGCTTAGGCCTAGAGTGTACCCCAAAAGTCTCCTGTGTTCAGAGGTGGGGCTTTGGGAAGGGGACTGGATGGTGGTGGTGCTTGGTGCTGCTGAGTTCCTAGGTGCAGGTGCTGTTAGCAGGTGGGGCCTGTCAGAAGAAGCTGGGCACTGCGGTGTGGCCGGAAGAGTGTATTCTTGTCCTTCCTCCTTCCTTCTTTGCTTCCTGAGTGCCACAGGTTGAGCAGCTTTCCTTTGCCTTGCCTTTCCACCGTGTCGTTTCTGCATTGGAGCCAACCAACCAGAGACCAAATCCTCTGAAAACTCTGAGCCAAAGTAAACCTCTCCACCCTTAAGTTGTGGGAGTCTGATGTTTTGTTCCAGTGCCAGGAAAATGACTGAAGCAGTATTTAGTTTCTTTGAATTGATTTACTCCTTACGTGATTACTAAACTTTTAACAGAAGATAAATGAGGATATGAGGGAAATACCATATTTTCAAATTATTTTAAATGTGGCATTTTGTTTTTTGGGTTTGGTTTAGGTGTTGCTGTTGTTTGTTTGTTTTGTATTGTTTTGTTTTGTTTGTGATACTGGGGATTGAACTTGGGGTTGCTGAGCCACATCCCTGGCCCCCCTCTTATAATTTTGAGACAAGGTCTTGCTAACTTGCCAGAGTGGCCTCGCACTTGGGATCTCCTGCCTCAGCTGGGATTGCAGGTGTGCACCACTACACCCAGCTTGGTGTTTCTTTTGAAATTGTGACGATATGGTACGGTATAGGCCAAGGTAAATGAATTTAGAAATTTGAGTAAATGGAAGAGGAGGCTGTTGTTATTCTTACTTTGCTCTGTGTAAATCTAGGGTAGAATATGTAGTTGATCTCTTCTTGCACTAGTATTTTTTGGATCTGAAAGATTTATACTACAGAGATGCGTGCCCAAACTGCACCCCACACCCCACTTACTTATTACAGAGTGCCAACACTGCTCTTAAACCTAAATACTGAGGTTTTAGCTTAGAAAATAAAACTCAAACATTAGCATCTTTTGTCTTAAAAGAAAAACAAGGAACACAAACGTACTGTAGGTTTGCCACCCCTGGCCTAGGAGATAAAAATCAGGTGGTGAAACATTTGCATGCTTCATGTTATGCAGCAGGGTAGGCAGTGTTGGAAAGCAGGGTAGGCAATGTTTCTTACTCCTTAGAAGAAGTGATTTGGATATTAAGGATGAGTACATTTGTACCAAATTAAGAAAGCAGTCAGGCATTGAATGCTGGAGAACCAGATCAGATAAATCCAGGTGAGAGCTGGCATTTTCAAGAAGAGTAGTCAGGAGAAGTACTGAAGAAGAGTACTAAAGAAGTGAAATAACAAAAAAATGTGGAAAATGATACATATCACAACTGGATCCTTGGTCATTATCACGTGTCTACCTGAGGAATGCACCCAAACACTGGCAGAGAGGACTTTTGAGGCCCTCAAGGACCTATTCTGTCACTGTTTAATGAGGTATGGTTCCTGCTTTGTGGTGTAGATACGCATGAGAAAGAGAATCAGGATTCATTGGAATTTAGGACTCCCCACTGATTTGAATGGAAGCTCATTGTTCTACAAAGTAGTGGAGTGTCCATCTGCACCGTGTACCTCAGCTTCCTTTCCTAAAATGTGGATTGGGCGAGTGTTTGTGAGAAGCTGGGCAGAACCCTAAAAGACAGTGGTAAAATTGCCTGGTATTCCCCCTTACATAGTTTCTCTGTTAACCGGGTACCTCCTCTTAAATGAGTGCTTTTATAACTCCTGCTGCCTCTGACTGAAATCTTATCGTGAAGTAGTCAGGACAGCTATCATTTTGTTAAGCCTTTCCCAAATTCCCACCGGCATTTAGCCATTTTCTCTTCTGGGTTCTGCAAATCAAGTTATGTTATAATGATCTGTTTACAGCTTGCTGTCCCCTGTTCAACTGTCAGTTCAGGCTCTTCTCACCTTGAGAGAAGGAAGGACCTTGTCTTATTCTGAGTGTAGGCCCGTGTGCTTTCCCAGTGGTAGATCTGTAAACCACAGGCAGGTGAACGAAGGGGCCTGCGCCTTGCAGAGAAACCACGAAGGAGGCACGCATGCTGCCACGCACGCCGGCAATTTCATAACCAAATACCCAGCCTGCTTCTTGCTTCAGGAACCCATACTCTTCTTGTCTTTCGACAGATTTCCACTGCTGAGTTTTCTTGTTTTTCTCCTGGCCGCCATATGCAGGACCACCATGTTACTGTCTGATTCTGCAAACATAGTGTGCTGCAGTTTTATTTAAAGGTCTGCCTTATTAAGGTGGGATAATTTTACTGAATACATAACAGCAAACACACCTGAATCTGCTAGAATAATGTAAAGCTTCCCTCTTCAGTATCTTTTCAAAGATATTTTGTTATTACTATCCTGCTGGCAAAATGATTAAAAGCTTTATTATGTAATAGAAGGTCTAATTGCTTTAAGGACAGGGATAATAAGTTTACTACATTTTAACCTTCATGTGTTCTGTTTATAGATTGTTACAATTCATATCATTTAAAGGGGACTATCCTTGGCTTGTGGAGTTGGAGGAAAAGTCTCATTGTCTTCTTTTTGATATTTGTTTGGTTTTGTTTTCTTTTGTTGTAAAAACTTTAAATCGAGTATAATTAGAAACTAGCAAATCCTTGACCTGAAAAAAAAAGTGGGAAAAATCATGATTCACTACTTTTGTAAAATATATGCAAAACCTTCTGACTACAGCAAACTATTGGCTTGCTTTTCTGTATTTCAAACTACACGATGAAACAATTTTGTTTCCTCAACTTGAGGTGCTATTTTTAATTTTTGTTACAGCATTTTATATGAAAGGAATGTTTTAGAACCCGTTAGGTTATGTGTTAAGATTTCAGTTTTAAAGCAACTCAGGTTGAACTACCTGAAAATTTTTATACCACTAGCATACTAACAAGATATTTTCACTATGTTTTTTAAAATGGTTAACCACCATTTTGAGTGAAGGGCATGAACTATATAGAGAAGAAATATAGTCAGCCATTAAGTGAGTCTGCATTTAATTGACAGTTATGTGGTAATACTGTTCTAATTGCTTTTCATGTTTTTCTCATATAAGTTTCACAAAAGTCTCATGGGAATTAAAGCATTATCCTTATTTTTCCATTTTAAAAAACAGACAGGAAGAGGTTGTGTAAGTTGCCTGTGGTCTGAAAACTATTGAAAGGAGCTGAGCTTGAACTGGGATCATCTGACTGTAGAGGTGACTGATGTACTTTTAACCTGTAAGCTGAACTGCTTCTGGTGTGAATAAGCATATGAAAAAATGTCTAACCTCATTTGCAATTAAAATATACATATACACAATTAGCACAGTGTGATAGCATGTGATTTCTATTAGATTTGCAAAGAAGAAAACTGTCAGTATTCAGTATGAGTGAAGATATGGAGAAAGGAGAAATCTAACGTACTGGGGTACAGATAGAAGTTGTTACCTCTTTTTGAATGACTTTTTTACATGCTAAAAGCATGCATATGCTTCAACCTAGCCATCTCGATTCTAAGAGTTGTCCTGTACAGCTCAGCACAGAAAAGCACTAAGATAGCTGGGCAATGAGACATATTTTTTTTTCTTTTCAAAAGTTTTTTTACAGTGTTACTATAGCAAG